TTTGGAAAAATTGGTGTATTAACTTTTTTTAAGAGTTAAATAAAATGCTAACTGACATCCATGGTGCTTCAATACGTTGTGAGCCTGCACTTAATCTCAGAGGTCAGTTCAGTCCAATGACGATTCCATAAACGTCGATATCGGCTTACTTTAAATTAACTTAAATCTAGACATAAATCGACTTTCGCTGTACCAAATGAAATCAACGACAACAAAATATTTGAGTAGGGCTGTAATGGGGATTTACGAACCCCAAGCACATCAGCTCAAGTTACTCAGATTCGTCTCCTGTGCGTTGATTGCAGTCTCGCCCTCGAGTAGTGTGCTTTCCTCCATCGATCATGGGATTGTTTGAGTTGGAAGCGATCTTCTAAGTTACAGAAGCAGAACAACACTTAATCCCATTAAAACGTTGGTCTAATCAAACAGCTTAACGCGTGTTTATTTGTTTAGCTTGGTTGAGAGGGCTGCTTGTTACACTAGCTCGGTGGAGTTCAGTGATTTATAAATTCACCGCGGATATGTCATTTCATGGGTCAAAGTAACATAAGTAATTCAAAAATCCGTCCAACACGTGTCGAGCAGAACAAAAACATTAGTCTGAAAGGCAAATTACAGTAATCAAAGGGGCTACATAATGGCTTATAACTAAGCGTTGATGTTTGATTTAATTTGGTTGCAATTTTGTTGTCTGGTTCGTTTTTAATTTTCTTTTCTTTTATTCAATGTTGTGTTTGGTGAACAGATTTATCTCTAAATTAACCGAACTCAGTAAACTTTTATGAACTCATCTCCTTTTACCAATCCAAAGATTCAGCAGAGTTCAAAATGAGGCAGAGTGTTGGAACACACACCACAATCCACTTAAACCCGGCAATTTTTACGCAGAACCACTTTTTTGGCCGAATCCTAATCGTTGAGTGTAGTTGCTAGTAAACTCGTTAAACCTGTTCCGTAGTTTTTGATAAGTCAGTTTCTTAACAAAAACAGATAGTTTAGCAAAAAAATAAAGACGTAAAACCTTTTCCCTGACAAAGTGCTGGTAAATTTTAAGTCTCTTTCCTTACGTGGCAAATACACTTCATATAAATAGTTACAAGGGGGGTTTACTTGTTTTTTTCTCCAAAAACAGGACATGCTAAGTCATTTTTAAATCTAAGCATTGTGTCTAATGTCAAAAAAAGTTTCTTTAGTGTCAAGTGTTTTGTAACAAGCGTTTACGCGTAAAGTGGTTGTGAGTGCATGTTTCCGTGGTGCAAGGAAATAGAACTTCAGTTTTCTACTGCCCAAATGTCAAGAAAAATACAGCCTTCAAACGTAAATTGGCCTTTTTAGAAGCACTTTTGAATAACAGGATGGAGAAACGTTAGACAGGAGAAAAAATTTACTTCCGCAGTCACTTCTGGGATCAAACTTTTTCTGGAATACATTTGGTTTTTTGTGATTATGTCAAATATTAAATACAGACGTACATTATCCTAATCGGTTTGTATTTGATTTGTCATAAAGAAACTTTCTTGGAAATTAATGTAACTTGGTATTTAAGACAGGCTCCTGTTTTGTATCGCAATAATAAATTAAAAAAAATCGCTCATTTGTCATATAGGATTTCATTTTCCTAATCACGTTTCTAAAACATTATAGAACAACAGAATACCAAAATAAAAGTTTCAACCATTACTATTTGCAGCATTAGAGGAAAGTCTTGAAAATTCATGTTAATTTTATTGGTAGACTCAACTTTATCTCAATGTATTCTTACATACCGTCTAGCGTTTGGGTGATTTCAAAGGTGTTAAAACTTCAACTGTTTAAAGTTTTGAAATTTTCATTTGGAATTACTGCTTATGGCTTACCTACCTGTTGAATAAGCTAAATTCAGACAGTTTGAGATAAAAAACGATTAAACGGGGTTTAAAGGGGGCAGACTCGCTTTTAAATGGAACTAGCAAGTGACACATTGGAATAGCTGTACTTTTGCATTATGCAAAGTGCCATTCTTCGAAGGGTGGCCTTTCAGTATTGAAGTGAATCGCTTTAACTCCAAATCATGTGTTATGCGAGTAAAATTTTCTGCGTCTCAAGGACAAAAGTTTGGTGATTCAAGTGCGAAGAGATTGGTAGTGTCCTAATAAAGTTTTATACTATGGACATTTCAGGCTGTGCAAAGACCACCGTATCCTCTAACACTTGAATGCCCAATGGGGCGTTTCTCGATATCTTGACCATGACCACATATAACCACAACTTATTGGTTCAGGGTCTATGTTAAATAACAAATAGAGTAATGCACAGTCCTTAATGTTATTTTAGGTCAGCTTTGGGCCAAGTGGACCTCAAACAAGTGGTTTAGAGTTTTACAAAAAAGGATTTAGCCGTTTCTCCAAAGCATCTCATCAAAAGTTGTGTTTATAAAAGAAGTTCATTGCATGTAGTTTGTGACTAAATTCCTATTTTAAAGCTGCATACATTTTTCAAACCTTTTTTTTGCTTCCATACATTTGGTAAACGTTCAAATCAATGTTCCTTATGGGACACTTGGACCAGCGCAATAAAAAAAAAATTTTAAGGTACGTAAGTTACCTCAGTACTTACAATCAGCGACCAATTCCAAAGTCTGGCATTAAGCTAGATTTTAATTCTCTTGACAAAGACAAATTTATCGATGGCAATTTAGCTTCGAAATTTTCTGCCCAGGAATGATGAACGAGATAGTTTTTGAGGTGGTTGTCTTTCCATATTTATGACAGACTAGTAAAAATTCTTAGGTTATAGTTGGGGCCATTTGTATGCTCTTGCAATTATAGGCATTTTCGTTTAGTTCTCTTAACTAGCACTGCATAATACCTGTAATAGCTTTAATGTAAAAGTGTTAATTATTGAAGCAACTGTGCAAACAAACCTAAATTTAGTCTCAACAAGCTGAGCCCCGCTTTGCACAAATGCTTGAAGTCTTTCCCTCTAGTATCTGTTAATTAGTGTTTCCGCCTCTGCACACATCCTTAATCCCCTTCTATAATACCATAAGCAAATACAACTTAGCTAATTTGTCGCCCCAGAGGATTTGAACCAAAATGCGTTGTTTCCCCAAAAATTACAACTTATGGAACGAGTAAATAAGAAACAGATCCAAAGAAAGGTAAAATGCTGAACACTTACAAATCCAGAGGATTATTTGATTTTGATATAAATTCAATACTTTTGCCCTTAATTGTGGTTTGTTTAATCGCCATGGTTTAAATAGGATGCGCTTTTAATACTTTTGCCTAATTTTAATGAACACAAGTAAGCATTACCATGGTCTATGAAATTGCTTGACAAGTCGAGACCAAATTGACGGCCAATTTGGGTAGGGAAGTGAACGGTAAATTTCTCTTTCACGTCGAAAATTTAATTCTGATTTATTTATCACTTAGCCACCCACTAAGTCCATTAAATTATCATAGTAAATTTTACACGTAGCCACATAATTTAAGTTAACAAAAGACGTCTAGTCAAGCACTAGTTGTTACTAAATTGACAAATTTATTCATGACACAGGGTCTGGGTTACCATGAAAAAGTAGTCAGTTAGGCCAGAGTCTTTAGCAAATATTATGGTTGAAATTGAACACAAATGATGCAGTTGTAATGCATCACCTCAATCTTTTGACCTAACTTCATTTCAATGCACCATTTTTGCGCATAATTTTTTTCTTTATAAATGAACTTTTAGTACGGTCTTAAATTCTTTCAGGACAAGGATCCGATTCTTCACCATTATTTACATGCGATGCTTTTTTATTCCCATGAATTGCAAAATTGATAGTCTCCATTACCTTTTAAAGTTTCATACGTACATGAAAAACTTCAATGATACCAAATTATTTATTTCTTTTAACACTGGTGGCAAAAAAGAAACAGAAGACAGTTTCGCCGAAAAAATATAGCCACATTAACCGAGGTCCTTAGCATAGAATAAGGCTAATTTTCGGGTCAAAAATTTCAGCAAAAACGGAAACACATAATTACGTAGTCACAAAAGAATGCAAGAAGAACGGCTTTTTGCATGGGTGGAAGGGGCTGGGGCTTTATTTGCGGTGACGCGAATCGCTGAAAGGATGACGCCTGCAGCCTGAAAAGCACCAGTTAAAGGCCAAAAGCATGTGCCTGTCAAATAAATGAAAATTCAGTAATTAAGGAATAACAATAAGGTGGAAAAATGAGGGAAATCTGTAGAAAGCTACAGTGAACTTGATAAGATACCCCGCTTAGCAACGATCAATCAAGATGAAAAACGGTGAAACAACTGCTGGCGTCGGGTAACGGCTTCCATTATGGCAGTATTTTTGCAAATTAATGATTTAGACCAAGGCATATTGACATGAAGCAGTTGCAGACTGAACTTTCACCTGACCACGGACTCTTGGGCTGACATGTGTCATAAACCGATTTGGTTAAAACTTGCAACTATTAGTAAATTCGCAGCACACGCAACTGACTATTTGGCAAATTCAACACAAAGTCCACTGGAAAAAATCTTTTCGGTCTTGAAAAACTTAAATTAAACAATACTGAGCTTCAAATCTCGTTGCCAAATTAAGGTATTAGAAGCTGCCAATGTCTAAAGGGCTTGTATTTATTACATAATACAACTGCTAACATTAGACCTAGCTAAACAATTGTGAAAAAGTTAACTTATCGAAGTTACATTTGTTTCCCTCGTGATTTTTGATTTTTTAAATAATTACTGTTTACTTACAAAAAATGTGATATTTGGCCTTTAAAATTGCGGTTCCAATTAATGTGCATAGTAATACAGTCTAAATATTTCTGAGGATTTGTTTAGTGCATTCTGCATTTAATGCTCAAAGAAGGAATTGTTCTGTAGAAATAAAATACAGCAGAACATTAACGTGTACCACGTTAGATTTTGCGGTACCTTTAATTGCAGACTTTAAGTAAAATTTGTATTCACTACAACGTACGTGTTGCATTTTACCAGCTTTTGCTGAAAGCAAAATGGCAGCCCCGATGGAAGCCCCCACGACATCTCGGCGGGAAGGTTGCTCAGACATCCAGAAGCAAGACGAACGAGACAGACTTCAAGGTAGGTATTTTGACAAGTACGGTGGATTGGAGTAACTGATTTCTAACTGTAATTTTGCTGGCTTAAAAAGCATGTACTATTCTTGCAATGTAATTACAACCAAATAGGGTAAAAGCCAATATTTGGTGACCAAGCCACCCATGTACCTAAGTAACATCATGGAATAACTCGAGCTTACTCTTCCTAGTTTTGTGAATTCGCCCACTAAAAATAAATCCATCGTTTATACTACAATCGGTCTAAACACCAATAATTCAGGGCAAATTTGTATCTGATTCCATATTTGATAAATCTAAATCCAGGGATCAAAAAGACGGCATTTACAATCCCAAGTTTGGAGAAGCACTTTTGACAATTATCGGGATGCGGTGATTTTGTTGATGCACTTCGTTTGATTAAAACTGAAGTATGTTTAGTATACGGAAACGTTAAAAGAAGATCGCTTAAGCTACAAGCCCGCTTCATATAATAAGAATAAAAACCTTTACGGCTTTGCAAACTTGGCATTCAAGTAATTTGATATAAATGGTAAACCTGAAGCATAATAAGGTCGTTGTCTTAAGACCTTTAAGGCCCTCTTATGTAATTAAGTCGCCAATTTCGAATTTACTCCGAGTGGAAGTGGTGCACGAAGGGCAAGCCTACTCGCAGCTAGACCCGCGCCGAGCGTGCATGTGTTTGTCTGCGCGAAAGGACCGACCTGGCACGTTCGCGTCTATTGGTGTGCGTGCATGTTGATGGTTGTAGCACAAGTCGGCAGGGAGAAACAGCCCCTTGCTTTTAGTCCAGTACAAAAGGTGCAAACAAATTAGTAGTCACACGTGCGCCGACCGACTGTACGAACGTCTGTAATCGCAATTCTGGTGCGACTGTAAGTACACTCCATTCATCATTTCAATCAGGTATGAAATCGGTCCCTTAGTTCCGACATTTTAAACAACCAAGTTCAGGCCACTTAGTCATTACATGTGGAAGTGATTCTCCCATTAACCGCAATCTGGCCAATGGGTAATCCAGGGGCTTGATATTATCTATCCTATTTACTAACACCGGATAACTGGTAGCAATTAGTTAAATTCAATTTTTGGTAGATATAAACGGTCGGTTTGTGTGTGCAGATGTAGAAATTAAGGGCATTTTTGACAGTGTATAATACGACTGTGCGGAAATCGCTGCTAAAATGAAACTGTTTATCGTCATTTCTGTTAGAGGAAATACACCAGCTTAATTCTTTAGTTTCCTTTGTACTTTTTTTTATTTATGCAGCCGTTCTCCGGTTTATTTACCTCAAGCGTTTATTTTGAATAATCTGGCTTCAAGCTTTAATATTTCGTTGATAATGCACAAGCAGCATCTTGAAATTCAAATTTGCATTACATTATCCCTAATCGTGTGATGATCATGAGAAATTTTTGAATTTGGTTGAGTGATGTTATCTAGACATCTTCAAACTTATATTGGTAATTTTAGGTTTGATCATTTAGGCCCATGTTTCCTTCTATGCAAGTTGTAGTTTTTACCTTGCGGTGACACAACATTGTTAATTGTAGTGTGATTACTTAATGCATCCATTTTTAAATCCTCAGTTTTAATAGGTGAGGTTTATGATAACATGAGCATAATTTCGTGTTTCGTTTTTGCTAAATCTAATATTGATATCGCAGAGTTTTAAAAGCAAAATTGCACGAGAGAATTAATTAACAGCTAAAAAAACCATAACTTTATTATTACATTGCCAGTTTTGATGATGTAAGTAGCACTGCAATCCGTGTGTGCCAGCACCCAAATAAAAAATAAGTGCCCAAAATAAACGACTTCTAAGATGGGTTAATATGGGTCAAATACCAAGTAACTAATGCTTAGCAAGTTTGAGCCATGAACACACTTGAGCCAAAAGTCATTTCTCTGGCTATCTCACAAAAATGCAACTGAAGTTTGCACGTTCCTTGGACCTTAATAAATCCATTCTCATCAATTTTCTTTACATTTTGATTAAATTGATCTACAATGGCAGAGCTTAAGGTTATTTAAATTATCAGCAACTGGTAAACCGTTTTTTATCAAAAAGATTTTTCAGTCCTTGAATTATTGAAAGTAGGTTGAAATTAATCAAAATTTTATGGCGTTTATTGCCCAAAACAACCTTAAATACCAAAAATAACTTTCTTACATAATTAAACTGCACAATTTTATTTTGAAATAAAAGGAGCATTGTATGCGTGGGTGTTGCTATTACAAAGGTATCAGGTGTGTGATTTCTGACATGATTAGTACATAGACGAAATGGCATATGTGAGCTAGTGCAAACAGGGATAACATGATGCTGCAAAACACGTCTGCAGTTCCAGTGCATTTTTGACTATTTACTAATGAAATATCATGTAGTGATAGAATCAAACGTAAATTGTCCTCCCAGGTCTGCATATTACCCCTACACGATGACGTAAATTTGTGGGAAAGGCTGAATTGTGCATACTTCGAAACGTACATTTACGCAGAACACATAGTGCTTTGTATATAAGTTACGCACCAAGTGCCATATGTTTTAACGTTCCTTTTTAATTTGCAGAAGGTATCGTCTCGTCTTGCATAATTTCTCAGTCACCTCCTACGGAAATAGTTAATACAACAACTACTACTTCAACAATCACGGATTCTAACGGCAGAGTGAAGAAACTTAAGACAACGACCACAACCACCCTCCGGACTACCACCACGGTCCGGCGGGTCTGCGTGGTTGCGCCCGGCGAATTGGGCGGTGAGAATGCGCTTGTTCCGATTGGAGATCCCCCCTCAGGCATGCAGCCCATCGAAGCCACGTCCTCCGACCTTGGCCTACCATCTGCTGGCAGCCAAGAAGTCGTTCGTTTGACACACATCTCCGGTGGTAAAGATAGCTCTACCCAAGGACAGAATATAACCCAGCTTACATTTATGAAACCGCAAACATCTACGTCAGAAGTTGTGGAGGTATTTCGGAAACATATCTTATCACCTTTTTTTGGAAATTTTGCATCTATAGCATTAAATAATGGAACAGAATGTTTGAGTAATTTGAATGCATGTCATATGCAGTTTGTTAGTCTAGGCGTGTGTAAATATAGCAGTGCTATAGTCCACATAAAAAAACATGCCTTAAAACAGTTTTGCTTGTTATATGCTGCTTCATTTGTCTGTGAACACCAGAGAGATTTTACGCATCTTGGAAACGTAAACGCATAATTAAAAGGATGAAAAATGGCAACTTTTGAATACCGCAAACTAAGCGCTTTCAGAACAATGACACTAAAGGCAGTTATAAAAGAAAGTTTGTATTTGTGAATTAAACGTAAGCAAACGCCTATGAAGATCTGAGACAAAATACGTTCGTAGAAATTTGTACAATTCAATTGTGACGAAGTTACATCTTGACTTTTATATCGGTAGTTCTTAGGGTCCACGCCTAAAAATACTGAGTGGAAGTGACCATAGAAAATGACATCAGGTTTTTTTGCAAACAAACAGTTTGCCTGTAGATCTCTTTAATTTAAAAACTGGCTTTCCCTTAAAAAACATTTTAAAGCAAAGAAGCAACTCTTGAGTACTTATTCTGTCATTTTATAAATTTAGGTCCATACAGACGCCGATCCAGCTGCCTCTGAAGCAACGGACAGTGCGAATGGCAAAACAACTACAAAGACTGTTCGCAAACGTGTAACTACCTCCGTTGCAGCTGTATTTGCTTCACGTCACACAAAAGTGGACGGAAATAGGTCAGCTTGCTTCCATAAGCCATCACTCAATAGTCCTAGATACAAAGGAGCTAAACAAACGCTTTGGCACTTTGAACGATGTATTGTTAGCACTGACAAAGGAACTGAATATTAAGTTCTCATAGTAAAGCATTTGTATGCTTTTCGTGTAATGATTACCTACAATCTTTTGTCTTAAAGTTATCTCAGACCTAAGTAATTCTCCTTGGTTTTTTTGAAATGTTTGTACAGCAAAGTGCATAATCTTTTCAAAAGATGTCAACGTCCTTTTTTATGCCTTTTAGCTCCCCACGTACGTTTTATGAATTTTTTTTGTTAATTAGTTTTCAATGCATTCACATTAATAATAAATGCCTTTGTTAACGCATTCAATGTAAGTAGGTTACATTTGCAATGTTTTTAAAAAAACATGACATCACCTTACAGACCCGCTTAAAGGCGCGCGGCTTGACCCCATGAGTAGCGACATAGTGGAGAAACTTAGTCAGGTTCATCCGGAGGATGGCAGTGTATTTTTCGATGGAAATACCGAGTGAGTTTTATTATCTTATACCGTCTTTTAGCTTTCACAAGGCAGATTTAATGAAACCCAAATGAAATCGTAACATGTAATGCCTTTGTCCTTGTTATATAATACTACCCGAGATAATGTACCCACTTTCCTGAAACAAGGAATATTTAATTAAAAGGGTCCCACAAGAAGGTTTTGAAAAGTCTTGATAATTGGCTTAGAGAAGCTACTAAGAAAACTTGGACAGACGTTACACCTCTTGTGCCCTTTTACGACCTCGCTTTTGTTTCATGGGTTAAAGGCTCTGTTTACAGCCACCACAGGACGTATTGCCCATTCACACTGCAAATGTCTTAGCATTCCACGCATATAGATTTCTAAAGCCTATTATTTTCATTTCAGTTTCACAAACGATGATTCTGCTGCAATGACCGCGTTAAGAGTAAGTAAAATTTCTTTTAACATCGTGGGTATTTTTTGGTCAAGAGCGTTTCACATCGAATCAGACCATCGGACATTGTCTTAGTTAATGTGTGAGAATCAAAAGTGATAGGCACAGAATTAGTGGTGTTGATACTTCCCTGTCAACAACTGCAATAAGCGTTTTTATCAAAAAGCACATTTTTGTACTTTTATATTATTTTAAGCGACTGTTGCATCAATTTGATAACGCATTTCATTATAATATAAGGAATTAGATGCAAAGCTAAAAAATGTTATGTTCAAAGAGCACACTTTTCAAGTAAATTATCAGTACATCAAAGCGTCCAATTCAAGTGATAGGAGCTTTCACAATGTTTCAATTTGAAAATTTTCGTGTGACATAAGCAGAGTGGGGCTCAATGCCAACAACTTCTTACCGTGTGTTTCATTCGGTTTTTGTAATGGCGGAGAACTAATGTGAAATCAACAACAGAGTTTGGTGAAATCTAACACGCATTGTATGACGTCCGTATACTTTCGTCGGATGGACAGCATAACTTTTGTGCCACTCTGTTTAGGAATCATTTTTGCAAACTTTGGCGTAGAGAACCTGTTTTCACAGTCAATGGTTGCAGTTTTTATCGGTAGCATGTCTTAATCATGTTCGGTAAATTTCTGTCGCTCCGATTCTACAGTAAGAATCAGGTTCTTCTGCAGAATTAAATTTCAATTAGAAGATAAAGGTCAATGCTGGTTTGATAAGCCATTAAACGTTTAGTTCTTCCAATTTTATTCCAAAAAGTGTCTCCAGTCACATAGCAAAGTTTTTAGAACAATGCGTATTTCGGCAATTGAATTATTAATCACTGGTCCACCAGAATCATTTGGTGCCCTTTGATTTAACTGCGGGATTGGCTGCATGGTCCACATTCATCGCCTCGATATTTGCTAAGGACAATTCCTGTACTAACGCTGTAATGACAAAGCTGTTTTTTCCATATAAAATGCCTTAACTTTCAAAAGAACTGTGTTATTTTGTTACCATGTCCTTTTACTCAATTGAAAACATAGATAGAATCGGTGGAAATCGAGCCACTCAATTATTAGCGCTAAGTTGTTTACTGTTGGTAGCAGCAACTATTCGTCGTTAAGCAAAAATATGAGATAAGTGTGTTTTGCTTCCCGATGATATAGCATTTTATCATTTTACGTTTTTTTTTCAAAAAATGTTCAAATACACGCAAACAGCCACAGTGTACTGCAAGATCATTCCCAGGGGAGAAGCAGAAAGTTTCGATGCCTTTTCACCGCTTGTGTGCCACACTTCTTTTTCTTTTCTCTGACAAGTCGTGAACAAAATAGAAATCGTAGTCACGTGTGCCATGATTGGTTCGGTGTTGTTTAAACAAAAGTGGGGAAATCTTGTTAGTAGCAAATATGTAAAACATTAAACTTCTTACGGGTTCCTCTGTAGGAATGCGAACGGCAATTTGCTACTCGGCTTGAACTCACAGGTAATCCAGATCTGAGTCAATCGACAATCACGATGGATCACTACACTAATGAGAAAGGCAAAGCCGTGACAACCAAAACAGCTACACTGAAGGCCAATGCCTTTCCCTCGCTCTTTGATGGCCTTCCTCTTTACCAGGGCTATGGCATGATCAGCCAGCACGTAAGCTTTCCATTCATTCAAATACTTCGTTTTAGACTTGATAAATTTCAGGGATTTATGTCTGGTAGCCATGCCTTGAATAGCTTATGCGTGTAAGACAAAATTAATGTCAGAATTCTTCACGTTGAAATTTATGACTTCTAAATCAACAAGATACCTGTATGAAGGCAGGAATCAGTCTCAATTTGTAACGGTCTTATAAATAATAATTAAAACCAGTGCTTGCAAAGGCTGATTTTCAGTGTAAGGCGGATCGTTCTTCACTTCGTTTAAAGTCTTTTGTAAGTAGTTTTGCGTTTTTTGACCAGATGCGCTAAGGAAAGTCAGCATACTAACATGATTGCAATGTGGCAGGAAGTAATCAATGATTTTCAACAACTTCAAAACGTCTTCTAAATGCTTTAGAAAAAAAAATGCATAAACTGAGGATGCGCTATTGAGTATGCTTGATCTAAGTCTGCAAATTCAATTATGGCAGTGACGAATGTTATGCTCGGTGAACATGTGAAAGACTTAGCAAGTTCTCCGTTTCTTAACATAGGCATTAAAAAAGAATGTGGTTATGTTATAGTTCTGTTTTGAAAAGCAGACAGCACTCTATCAGACTTTTAGTGATATAACGCTTCCGTTAAGTTTGTATATACTTAAAACCCCTTTTAGAAAGGTGGGTAAAATAAATTATCTTCGATTGCAAGTGACTAATTCTTTTAGAGTCAACCAACTTGTTTTTGACGTTGTAAGTCAACAAATATCTCCAAACCACTAATTTACATCAATTTATTTGCCGACGCGATAATAATTGATAACTTTTTGCACTGCAGTAGGTTACTCTGTATAAATTAAGTTTAATGAGAAACTCGGAAACCCTTAACAGAAATTCTCGTATTTGCATTTGACTGTAGTGACATAATTTCACTTCCTATCAGCTCCTCGCTGCACCTCTGCTCACAACCGTTGGATTTAAGATGAACGAATAAGATACTTTGAGCTGAAGTAGGTTAAACTCCATGTTAAAATTACTATTGCAATTGATGAAGTTATAAATACGCTATAATTTAAAGTTTCAACTCTGAACATAATGGAGGATACGTTTGTTCATTTTGCCCCTCTATTGATCTCACACAAAACGTTCCTTTAAATATGCAACAACACATCCACCAGCAAGCCGATTTTGAGGTCTTCTGTTCATCACTAGCCATTTTTCCTTTTTAAATATCGTTAAATGATTCTTTAATTTACAAACAATGAAGACTGAAATTGTTGCTCCGCATTTGATTATTAATAGTAGTATGCTATGGTTGTCCTATTGTATTAAAACCTTTTTAAAAGCTAGGAATGAATTATGTGTTTAAAAGTTTGACAACCTAACTAATACATTTATGCACAGATGTACTTTATCAATCAACGTAATTTTAAATTTAATATCTGCCAAAAGTGGATGTGGTTCTTTTGACAAACCTCACACTCAAATTTTGTTTTGAAACCGATTGTTGATTGCAACCTCAACCAATGGATTATTCACTATCCTTAATAGTTATTTTTACGTCAGCGTTACATAAGCAATCAGTTTTGTCTTGTAAGGTTCGTTAAATCAGTAGGTGTTAACGTTTTGACCCCCTAAAGGTTACACTTCCATTATACTTTAAATAAATACTAAGGCAGAATATTGCGTTGACAGTAAACGCATTTTTTAGTAACACCCTTTTTTGCACTTACCTTTTACCGCATTTTTTTAGGAAGCCCCTAAATTCAAATCAAGAAGTGTATTGTTGTCGACAGTTCATTTTAAGTAACATGAGAAGAAGATTGCAAATTTAATTGGTGATTAATAGCTAAATTTGATATGAAAACAAATCCGTGAGATAGAAATAGCCTCCACGATATTCCTATTCAACAACATGAATATTCTTTTAATATATTTTAAACTAAGAGTCGGGAATAACGATATTAATACATTTTCACAATCTGTAACACTCAAAATGCCATGCCTGACTTATAATGTAAGCATTTTGACTCAATTCCTTTGCACAGATTATTTTTTACGAAATCCTTTGTCAATGGTTGGATAGCTAGTGAAAAAGGTGTCTATATTTATTAATGAAGCCACTTTTTATCCATGCGAAGACTATTTGTTGTGTGCAAACACAACACTAGTGCCACTGAAATTCAATTTCTCCGAAACAGCACTTGGGTTTTGCGTTCATTCTAAAAAAATTTGATGTCGGCTACCTTTCACTGTTTTGCACATCGGTCCTGCATCAAGTTTACTTCATAATTTATTCAGGCGACTAAGTCGTTTGGTTGCATTTGTTTTCACGCTATTTAATGCCGTCATACTTTACCTGAATTTGAATTTGTAAAAAAACTTTTGGTAAGATCAAAGTAACTGTAATTTCTCCCAGTAGCAAAAAAAAATTACTGGTTTATGTTCAATTTATTGCTTCCTAAATTAGAAAAAATTATGCATTTTTTGAAATTTCCATTTAAGCAATTGGAATCAAACAATGTTTGTGAGGATTGAATTTTACTGGTTCTATCCATCGGTTCGATGAGCAAAGGTCCACCTATTTTCTTCAGAAGCAGATTGTTTTTTATTTTTGAAAAGTTGATGGATGGAGATTATTGACATTGGAAGTAATAGCTTACGGTTGGCCTCCTACGATAAACAATCGTATTATCTATTTTCTGGGTTGTATTTTTTAACTTTTCCTTTAATCTTGTTAAGTCGATTGTGAGGGTGTGATGGGCAACGTCCATAGTTCAACGGGAGATAAAATTTCAATACTTGTAAGGTTGCATCAACGTAACTGAACTCAAATACCCCTTGATTATCACAAAAGAACTTAATCGACAAAATGCATAATAATTCTCAATTTAATGACATTGGTTGTTATTTATTCTGCAGTTTTAGTACTAGTGTGTGAAAATGGAAACAATGACTCAACATGACGGTAATAAATTTATACTTTTAAGGATTATAAATTTTAAGTCAATTACTGGAAAATTTATGAGATGAATGATCATTAAAAGGTTTACTTTGAACCACAATATATGTTGTAATACCATAAATTGACTAAAAATGTGAGATGGATGTATTTAAAAAGAATAAAAGGCTTCTAATTAGAAGAAAATTTATAACATTATGGCACCACTGCCAATTTTCACCCCTAGTTCTAGACATTGACAACAGACACCGAATCGTAATTTTTTAGATGAAGGATAATGATCAGTCGGAATCACCAGTGTCAATATTTTTCAATGGATGGCTCGATCAGATCGATGTTGCGTCACTCACAAAAATGTTTGAGGATGCGTCTAGCACCGGTCTCTTATCAAACGAATTAAGTAATATCTTTAGTGATCTGTCGATTTCTCCGAAATCAGCCATTAAAGGTAAGCCGATGTTCAAGTCTTTTGTAAATTAGTTCTATCTCTGTGGGTTAAAGAGTTTTATTTGAAATGACTTACGTTTTTACGATGAACTGCAAAATTCCATGTAGTTTTTTTTGTTTAGTGACCTGTAATCTCATCTTTGTTTAAGGACGGGAAAGCCAATTAAGTGTATACATTCCGCAAATTGAATTCATGAAAAGTTTTTTTTGGAACTTCAAATTGCTTGTAGCCATTTGATGTTGCGTCAAACGTTCCTTTTGTATTTTTTTCCTTTAACGCACTTTCTCTTCTATTAGCCTCACCAAACACGGGTGTGCAATAAATTCCTATGCCGTCTCTATTTAGCATTTGACAATATTGTTAATTTAAAAAAAAGACATTTTCTCTCTTTTTAACATTTGGATAGTGGTATGGTTAATTATGAAAGTAAAATGCTCTCTAGCTACCACACCAAATGCATTTCATCCTGTTTGATACCTTTTTATTAGCAGCTCTCATGTCCTGTCTCTCACAGCTTTCGTCACACTTACCAGGGCTGGGAAGCGAAATCACGGATTTTGCGATTTTGTGAGGCCTTCGTGCCAACTGAGCAAAACGTCACAGAGAATCACTGGGCTGAAAGTGTTCGGTGCTTCTCCGAACACTATGCACAGTATCTTGGGTTGCATTTAATTAGATCATGCGAGTCCTCTTGTGAAAACAGTATATCCGCTCGCTTCGGCCATTCAAAACCTTAAGGTTCATTCCTTCCAAGTTGACACGAAAACATTCTGGATGATGCATCACGTATGAAAAAAAGGCCTTGTTTGTCAGGAAAAGTGGCAAACCTGTCGAGACCACACAAAATTGTTTTTATGCTTTTTGAATATTTGAACAAGTTTCTATTTAGGATCGATGGATTTAAAAAAACGTAATTTTGGCAATTGAAGTGCGAACTCATCATGCTTAAAACTATAAGGTTTTCGATAATTCCATTTACTGTGAGAAACCGCGCAATCTTGTCAATGTTATTAGTAGTTCAATTAACATTAGTTACACCGACCCGCGTTTCTTCTCAGGAATTTCGGTACAAACCAGACATACGATCGTGTAAAAAAGTGTCACAGAAGGCGCATGTTATTTGCTTCCGAGTTATGTGGATTTAGCTCGCCAAGTAACTAAAAGGGACCTGTCAAAGGAATCCAGGCAATTAATTATGAAAGTAGGTTTCTCTGATCTAAAAAAGTTTTTTGGTCCGATCGTCCAAAATTTTCGTGTACAAAATCTCTTATGAAATTTGATACCACTACTTTTTTGTATAATATACTTGGCAAAAACGCAAATTTGTGGCAGACATACCTTTATTGTACGTAATAAGTGCTTTAACAGGCTCTTGACTCTGCTAACGTTGTTTTAAACTAACATTTTTCTCCTTCTTAATTGTCTTTTATGTTTATAGGACCTGGCGTCGAAATAGAGGACGTGACAAGTGAGGACGAGAAGGACTCACTGGTTTTCGACTCAAAGTCGGGTGATGTAAGTATTCAGTAAAACGCTTAATTCTTCAACAAGAGAAAAAAATGACCAATTTAAAGATTATCAATGGTTCGAGTCAGATCACAATTCAAAACTCTGGTTCAATATACCAGCTTTTAAGATCGTACACCTGCAGAATCTTAATTATGCGGTATTTATTTAATTTATTTGTCAAGAAGCATGAGATATTTATTACCAGTTTAAAAGCAGTTCTTTGTGTTAGGCTTTTGACTAATTATATGCGCGCACAGAAAGTTATCAGATTTTTACTGTGGCATTGTCGCATATCATAAAAATTATGATAAATAATCAACTTATTTTTTGCTGTCTGGAAAAAATACCATAAAAATATAGAGCTAGGAATCATCCTTTAGTGTAGCAGATGACCACATTCTGGCTTTGTTTAATAAGGGAATTTACTGTTAAGGGTCATAACACAGTCCGCATCAGGGTAATTATAAACTTCAACTCGAAGCTAGTCATATTCGAAAGTTTATTTTGTGAAACATAGCCAAAGAATTTAGCCTTTAATGTTAGTTTTATAATACTTCATCCTCCAATCAGTCCGGTCAAGTAAGCGAGGGTTCTGGAAATGTTAAAAAGAAATTGCTATAGCTGAGTGCTGTGTCAGCAAAACTTCTTGCACCTTAAATACGAAGTTAGAAAAGTGCACCGACTAGTTAACTTATACCGCTGTTGTAGAGACCGCTAAGTATCCGGTTTAGGTTAGTAGGTCGAAATTATGATGAAACCTTGCAATCGCCCTTGTATGATTGCTCTATCGTTGTTGTTAAAGTCACTAGTTAAGTTCCCCATGTGGACCAAAACTCCTTTTAATGGACACATAATTCTTTATAATTTTGGAGAGTTCTCGGTTTTATTGAATAAATGTGCTTGTTTCTGTTAAAATTGTTTAATTTGCACTAGTCGTTCCATCTGCTCATTGATATTTGCCTTTCAAAAGCTCTTTCACTTTTTGTCACTTTTGAAGAAATTCTAGATGAATTTGGCAGAATGCGTTGCCCACCCGAATGAGTAATGACAGTGGAGGTGGGCACAGCCGACACCTTCTTTGATAAAGTCACGGTCATGTGTACAAACATGAATCATTATATCTGATTCGTCACTTAACTTTCGTCAGTCTTTAATTCTCAAGTAAATCAAGCTTTCGAGATATGATTTCAAGAAGGAGCAATATAAACCTCATTTCTCAATTTCGATGGATTCTTGGCAACAGATGCCATAAATGTACAAACTAGATGCACATGTTTTGCTCACAATGTATCTATTATGAGGTTTTAAGATATTACCGCATGAAGTCAATATGGATATACTCTGCAGGACCTAAATACCAGGCATTTTGTATGATGTAAAAATGATATTCATGAGGGATTTAATGGCCCATTTATCTACAGGTGCCCACTAGGAAAGAGTCAACTCAGTCATCTCACGAAGATAGAGGAGCAGCGACTGATGACAGAATTCCTACAGACGAAGAAAAGATTTGTTACAAAAATCAGATCCTTAACCAACTCAGCACAAAAACGGGACCATGCAGGATCGCATGGTCCGAAATGCCTGAGGTGCGTTTATTGCACACTAGCACAGATTCGTCTACATAACAAACCTAAGATCTGTTGAATACCAAATGATCTTTGAATTAAGGTATTTTCATCATAATGATTTTAAACAAGAAAAAGCGATTTATTTTTAAGTTAGGATATCTTGAAAATGTACATAAATAATGGTTGGAAGTCCTTAATATCTTAATAGTTTGAAAAATTCTGAACTAAATTTTGGTTTGGGTAAATTAATAAATCCATATTTGATCCTACTACGCTTTTCATTTTAGTTTCTTCTAGAAAAAGAGAAACAAGGCAAATTTGAAAAACCCAAAGTTATGTCAAATTTAGGAGACAAGCTAAAATCATGCTGACTATTGGTTTTGCTAATTACCACAGTGGGACCTAATTAGTGCCTATTTTTTTGTCCAGCGAATAAAAATTGCGATCTTTTCTCTATTGATACCGTAGATATTATTAACTGCAAAATAACAAGCATCGGTTTGAAAAAAAACTAGTAAATGGACATATAGGAGTTATAATACTTTGTGCGTTGTAACTTGGCTAAATGGGGAGCCTAAAATAACTGTACCTATGACTATACACCAATTTTCCTCTTTGCTGCTTTTACGGTTCAGTTTTTTGCTACTTTTCAAATGTAGTCAATTTTAATGAAATTGACCACTTAATGTGACATTTAAAATGAAGGCAAATTCGCAAAGTTGAACTGGTGCAAACTTTTGGGAACTATTTTTTAGTTGCCGGCAACACCAACTTGTCAGTGTGTAATTTTTTAACATTTTGAATTAAGTCAAAAAAATTATGTGGGACAGACTCTGAAATTCCGCAAATAATTTGCATTTCAGGAACTTGAATTATTATTTAATTTTAACTTGGATAAAATCAGCTTTTATTTTTCTTTGGTTTTAAAGAGCGATTTTCCATCAAGTCCTCAGATATTTTAATGAAAACATGAATTTAGAACAATTGCCTATCTTTAGCTAAAATTCAATATTATTAGGAATAGTTTATAACAAATGCGAATGTAATTATGTAATCATTAACATAATAAAACTTTTGTTAATTTTTTTCATTTTTGAAGTTGCTCATTTCCCTATTTCGGGGAGTCAGTGGACGTTTGCAATGCTTTTACCTCATTAAGAGCATAATTAATATATTTGAGAAGATCAGACTTCCAATTCATATTTCCAACAAATAAGTTTGCAAGCAACAAGAAATGCTTCATTGCTTTACAAAATACCAGTGGAGGTATTGAATGTTTCATTTTTTGTTAAAAGATGAAGTCTATTTATAAATTTATTTTTCATTTAGACCTAAGGTAACGATTTTGAAATGATCAAAATGAACATGCCGAATGTTCCCTTATTGTTTCTATAACATTAAACTGCTAGCTAATCTTTGCTCATTTTAAGTCATTTGAGAAACCGAATTATTCAATTAGTAATCTCGATCTACTTATCCTATAATAATTCGCTAACTTAAATAGCGTCTTTGGGGGCCTTACTTTTCAAAAATAAACCAAGAATTTGTCGTTTAATCAGTATTTGTCTGAAATAGATCATATCTTCATCCTGTTTTTTTGAAAACGACATTTAAGATATAATATTAACCTTCAATAGCCTTCAATTTTTATTACTAAAAGTAGTTGTGGTTCACCACGTACCTGAAGCCCTTGCCTAAAAACAGAATTAGTTTTTTCTTTAACTCAAGAACGCTTTTTAAACCTATGGGCGATGTCGACATTCCTGAATAAAAGACGTCGGTGTCAGCTCAATTAGAGCCCAATAATTATTTTTAAATTTAATTCAACATCTTTGTTGCGAAGAATTTTGGCTTAAACTTGCAACCAACTCAACCTGATTCGCTTTTTTCCCTCAGGGTTCTTTTAAATTTTTAGGTTATTCTTTTCCTTTTATTTGGTGGATGTTCCCTTCAAGCAATACTGATCCTCTGTTTACATATAATAGGTTCAGACTGGAAACGTCATTGGAACAATGACTCGCCATGAAATTCAACTTCAGGAGGTCTGTTTAAGTCTGGTGCATTACTTATTAAACCAAGATTGGTTTTTTAAATGCAAGCACTGTAGAAGCTTTTTACGCAGTCGAGCACTAGCACCGCAGGTATATGACACAACGCCCTTGTTTGTGCAAACGAACATTCAAACAAAAATTAGGTGATGTGAGATAAAATTAAATTCATAAATGATCAAGTCATCTTTATAGATTGGTGTATCAGTTAAAGCTTTATTAGTTTCTGCTCCCAGCAAAAATCCGAGAGACGTTCGAGAGCAAGGTGATGTTTCAGCTAAAAGATGGAAAAACTTTCAAAATTTGCCGTTCAAAAGAGACATCACACATAATTTGACCTTCTTTGCTTGAATCTTGAGGCCATGACCTCAGGTGCATCGTGGTTGACAGGAATGGTGAAAAAGAATCGTTTTCGACTTGTGCAACTAATCACTTAGTAAAAGGACACACTGATGCATCGGCCACCTACACAGCTATGGCATATTTCAATAGTTCCTGACATATTTAGGCGGTTTAACCTTAGTGGTCAGATTCCATGTAATCTTTTCCTGGACTTTTTGATCACACTGATTCACTTCATTGACCAAAAAGTCTCTCAGTCATGTTTAGAAAAAAGATAAAGTATAAGATTTAATGAGATGTTAGGTTCTAAATCCACCATGGATCAGGGATTCCTCACGTTGTATTTTTTGCACATTGAATCTAGGCTGCTTGCGAGTGTTTTCGTAGGTGGTTTTTAATATTGCAGAAAGTAGTGTGCGCAAACAAATTGTGTATTCTACAAAAGATTCGAACACATACCACTAAATCTTAATAAACACAAACGAGTGAAAAAAATCAGCTTCGGAAATGCCGGTAAGGAAGCGGAAAAAGCGCCTCTTTTAAATCGTAAACAGAGCTAATGGGCAGAAAAAGGACAACCCAAAACAAATGCAAACACGAAGTCCGTTAAATCTCAGATTTGGTCAGAACAAGGTCATTTGTGGTACGTGCATGAAGACCTGATTCAGCGATTTTAAGTGCTGTCAATTCTACTGAAATTTTCCAAAATCTTGGTTCCACCGGCTTAAGACGAGTTTAATTCTGTACAACTCATCACGTTCGTCATAGTCTTTATCAAAAGCCACTCATGACTGACGGGATTAGGTAAATCATTTTCCAGCCCTATGCTTAGTATACGAGTTCTGATGCTACTAGGAAATAAATGACCTCTAGCCCTGTTGATAATTTCAGTTTGTCTTTTTAACAATCTATCCATCAACAGAACAATTTTCACTTATAATCCAATAAAATCATCAAAATTTTTTAAAATGTTAATTTAGTATTATTTTAAGTTTGATGGCGTCGAGTAAATGACTGCGTAACAGGTGTCACAGCAAAGCCCATCGTATTTCTGGCCTAACGAGACCATGTATGTAGCACTTAAGTTAAAATTGGACAAAAACCTCCTTTTACTTTGTTGTTGGTGTTCAAAATCTTTCTGCCTGTAAATTACTCCAAGATTTTTCTTCAGGCAATGTTTGAGGTCATCACCTCGGAGGCGTCATATTACAGAAGCCTGCAAGTTCTCATTGAGCATTTCTATGGTGCACCGGAATTCGATTGTTCGAGATCGGCTACCACAATTCCAGAAGAGAGCACAAATGAAACTGATGGTGAATGCACTTCCTGCCAATCGGGAGACGCTTCCAGCTTCTCGAAGTCCGCCAGCCAGAATAATGCGCTCTCCGGCGGCAGTAGAACTGGGTCGATTACGGGACTTGGTGAAGTCGGCCCTGCTCCAGTCGTCAAGCCAGTTCTGAGCCCCACCGAAAAACACCACCTTTTCTCAAATGTCCTTCTGATCTGTATGGCAAGTGAACGGTAAGTATAATCTATTGAGGCTTAGTTTTAAACTTTAAGCGCCTATGTTCTCACATGCTTACAAATCTGCTTTGTACATGACTTAGTGATTTGTCACTTTTTATAACTGCGGTTATCGAAATTCTAAATTTGCCTTTCATTAGTACTTTCAAGATAAAAAAATTTAAGCAGTGTTTATTAAAATCCCTAAATTTGCACATGGTACCCACAGTGATTTAATAACTGCTCGCAAGATGCCGTCAATGGATTTAAAATTTGATGATAATATGGGTCTGCAATGTTCGAACACATTGCGAAAGCAGTAACATGAACGTCTCGGATGTTGATAGGCTCTCTCTTGCGTGTGGTTAATAAAAAAATGAACCTCAGTGGTGTCATTTGCTTGTAATGTAAGCCAAAATCTGATGTCGGTTAAGAGAACTTGAAATACTAATGATAGCCTATGAACCTTTTAATATCTGCTACACTAATAATAAAATATATCAAGATGTACATGGTGGAATTTTAATTTTCAATTCACCTTGCCACGGCCTAACAGGGTCGTTGACGAAAACATTAGCTAGTCTTGACAAACAGAGTCAATGCACTTGATTCTCCATTCTCAGAAACCGCCTTTTTAAACTAGCTTTTACTAAGTGATGTTTTATTATTGCTTGATGTCAAATCTATATTTGAAGACGTCTGTTACCGCCGAATAGAACTGATGAAGTCTCTAATTTTTGAACAATCACAGCTATTTAATTAACTCCGATCTTTTCATCTGTTTCACTCAAATCAAATTATTTTATCAGCGGTTCAATTAACTTAGCCTTGGAGTTTATACCAGTGGTTCTAAATTACGCTTTTCTTTGAGTTACCAAAATACATTGCTGTTTTTCAACATTGAACTTTTAAGCGGTCAAATGTTACTTTGAATTTTTTATTTGTCTGAAGACCATTTACACCATTATTACGTCTTAAGGTTGTTTCCAAAATTATTTATAAACCCTACACTTTTTCATAAACAATGCATGTCACCCACTAATTTATCAAAGAATGAGGACAAGGAGACATTTTTCAGTAGCTAGCGTTCATATACCGCTTACTATTGCATCCATAAAAGTGTTAGCGATTGAAGAGTAAAGTTTGTCTCCCTGTGTTGAGGATCAAAAGTGCGAGCATTGCAGGTAAGACGAAATAAAACACTTCAAATTGCGTGGTCACCTCTTAGGATATTCAAAGAGAAAATTACCTTTGACTGACGTCAGCGACGTGTATTTTCTGAAACCAACCGATTTTTCCCTTTTCAACTTACTATGTGGCACTCAAAATTTCGATGCAATAATTAGGGGATCGACAAGAAAGTAGTAGAGGTTTTCCAAATAAGTAGCGTTTCGCTTGCTTTGATGAACTTTTGTACAGGCTGGGATTTGTCCTTTTGACATTTCTCAGGTGCCAATTTAGTTTTACCTTGTGAGCAAGTCACGCATAGTTTGGTTTGCAGCTGCTAGCTGAAGGTCAGGTGTAATACGGAATGCAAATTTGAACCTTTTATGCATGTTTTAAATATATTCTCGTAATAACATGACGGCTGTCGTGGTTAAGGGATTGTGTGGTTTTAAATTCAGGTTGCGAATAATCCGTCATGGGATGCAGCCCCAAATTCTAACACTTAGCTTTGTCCATAACTGATGACTAGAGAAAGCTGAGGTTTAGCCGATTCGTCAATTATTCGCACATGAGATAAAGGAAATGGTCTGTTGTTGCGTCACCCACAACGGTTGCGTATCGCTCGAAATTCGCAATTGTTAGATATCTAAATGGTTGTTCGTACATGATTGAGGAAGAATAAAATCAGGTCGATCGCCTGAAGGTCCAACCTACTGCTATCTTCTCTCACATTTAAAGACTCATAACTGCTGAAAGAGATAAGGTTTACGCATGAACATCAAATTAAAACAAACATGGTGCAAGTTTGGTAATCCAAAAAAGACCACATCAAAATCTGATTTGCTTCACAAAGTGGCAGAGCTGTCAGGTTGGTGAGATTGCAAAGATGTTAATTAAACTAACCTACTTCCCAAAAACCACTACATTATTTCAGACATTTTCCAGTCAACATGAAATGAAGTTTCAGTAAAAGAAGTATCATAGGACAAAAATCAGAATTAAAAAGTTGCAAAAAAGTCGTGTATCACCAAGACCACGCTAGGTACCGCACGCATCTGGTAGCTCGCGGCACTGTGCTGAGGGATGAATTGGCAGTGACGTCGTATATCCACGTAGTTCTGGCCGTTTACCTTCTGGTTTCTATGAGAATCAATTTTAGCAAATCTCTAAGAATGGTAGGCTTTTTGGGAATACTGACAACATTTCGTCTAGTTTTGGTGATTCTGACAAGAGATTTTATGAGGGCAGTTTCAAGAAATTGTCTGAAAGACGACCAAGAGTAATCAAGCAACTTGGAATGAAAATTGAATTGTATTCTCTGTTTTATCCTATTTGAGACTTGTTTAACACTGCAAAACCGAAATTCGCCGTTATGCCAACTCGCTGCTTGTAAGAACAACCAGTCAGACAGAATTATTTTACAGATTTTGGCTATTACCTTACTGCGTGATTGATCTATGTTAAAGGTTCTTAATTCAAATGTTTTTCAAAATGCTGAAAGATGATTTAAATTTCTACACTGGCCTCCTTCCATACGTATTTGCTCTCTGCTGGTTGACTTAGCCGAACACTTATAATCCTGAATGTGTTGGCAGATTTTCACTTGATGAAAAATCTTCATTGACAGATTAAATAATTACTGGCAAAGTTACGCTAACGCAGTAAAATATGAAAAAGAAACATTCCTGCTAAAACTACTTGGTTGCATCAAATGATCACGGTGATTTTTCAGGACATAGACGACATCACTTATTGTATGTATGGATGTACAAGCAAATAATTACAGACTCGTTATAACTTTGACGGTGACATCTCTGAAATGCGTGGGCCTTTGAGAAAAACATTGCCACCTTCTACTATAGGATGATTGGGCATTAGAGCTAATTATTTTGTTCCGTCAATCATTTCCCCCCTTTTTACATTAATGTATACGTTGGCCGTTGCTGCCGATGTCAAGTATTTAAGTGCCAGAAACTGGAACGTGACACCAGCTGACGTCGTTAATAGTCTACTGTGGGTCACATCAGATCACACCAGGTTCCAGACATAATGAGGTGCACTTTAAGTCCGCGTAAATTCGATGTTATTGGTCTTATTTTGCAGTCCACTGCGCCAAAATTGTGAATATTTATGCTGAGATATTAATTAATTACATGAGTTAATTTTACTTAATGAGCCATTGTGGTTTTGGGGTTTAATTGGTGGACCTTGGATCAGTTATTCTTTTAATATTCCTTCTGTCATTACAATTACAAGATTTACTAGTCAATTTTTTAGACTTGCGCTACCAGGATGTTTTAGGTGGCCATAACATTTTGGTATAAATTATTCGGTGTCCCATTTGGTCTTTCATTTAATAGCAAATCCCTCAATTAAATCATCATACATGAAAAATTATGCACTATGACAAATGAACGGCTGCGGTGTCACGCGCCACCTCTTCAGAACTATCTGGCCTTCATGATAAAAAAAGAGACTTACATTTGTGGCATATTTTTCGCTGTAATTTTAACTAATTGCTCATCTGTATCTAATTGTCATTTTATGATTTATTCTTTTAATCATCAAGAAGAAGCTGGTTTGGGTGATGCAAAAAAGAGAGTTTAAGGTTGATTTTAAGAACATGCAGATTTTTGAAACCTCAAATTTTTCTCTTAAGTTTCCAACCAATAGAATTTTTGGCAAAATGTCATCAATTATGTAACAAATCACGTTAAAATTTTACTTCAAAACTAAAGCAAACAATTTGCAAGTCGACAAGGCAACATCACTTTAAATAATAGAAAATCAATAAGGCCAGTTTTAACAATACCAAAGGGATTGGTTATATTGCATGTGCAATATGATGTCTACTTTTTAAAAGTGCTATATCTAATATGAATGAAAGTTAACTTAGTACCAATATTTGCCCAGTAACCTAAAATGATTTAACATCTAACTAAAGCTTAATGTGCATATGGAGTTAAAATGGAACATAGATGTTTCACGTGATTCGGCATGCTTGAACAGTTTTGCTTGTAAGACTGCCTGTTGACATTTTTTACACCTGCTTGGGTCTTTGGGAACCTTAAATTGTCTGGCTAGTATACTATAATTAGTCAATTTAGCACATTTCAAGCATGACCATAATTTTTTTTTAAATTACAGTCTCTGTTTCCATCTCACCTCAGACATTAAATCGTATCCCTTCCTAATTCAAGCTACAGGTCATGGTATAGGCTAACCAAAGTGAAATCGAAAGTGAAAGTCAGAAGTAGGCTGCATCGACAGTTATGGATTTAGCTTCCGGTCTTTTTCAAAAGTTCCCTTTCTAAGTCACACTGTGGTGACTACGACAACAGATTAATCTTTCATTCCCTTTGCAGCTCATGTTGCATCAGAATACCGAAAGACTATCCATAGGCTTGAGACAAGTGGACGTGACTATTTATTTTTTTTACACAGTGATAAAGCGCTATCCATAAGTTTGTTGTGACGGATGTTTTGTACCAGGCACGGTGCAGCTTAGTAGAGAGACTCATCCAAATATTATCGTATAAAAATTATACTCATCTTAAATACCCCATTTAGAATACGTACGCCTGCCTGGAGTTAAGGTTTGTTAATAATGCTGATCCTATGTAATTGTCACCGTCCTAAAAATACAATGAATAAGACAAAATGACTTTTCAATTTCTGGTTATTGTCTCTAGTGACGTTTGCTGCTTCTCTTTACGTGAACACAGTTTTGTGTTGATTGGTCGATAAACCAAAATTTTAAACTTGAGTGCGCTTAGTAATATTTTAGTTTTTCTTAAATTTGAGATGTCGACATGAGCAAGTAGCAGTAAATGGCTGCATAAAGTTATTTTAAAAAAATCTCAGAGCTAAAAAAATAAAAAAATCGGTTACATTGAAGTCCGCACACACTCTCACACTACTATGTGAGATTGCATATTCAACCACCGCTTACTTGCTAGGGCATACGTGGCACCCTTCAGCCAGGAATCGAACCTGCACACCACAAAAATTGGCCACATATTGTTTTTTAAATTTATTAGATTCCTACAAGATCTTGAAGCCAGGTGGTCATCGGAAAAACCTCTGCTGAATGAAGTCTGTGACCTCATTGTCAAGCATGCTGGAAGCGTGCACTTCGAACCATATCTCACATATCTCCGTAATCAGACCTATCAAGTCGCTGCCTACCGTCGGCTCAAGTGAGTATTTTTGAAGTGTTACAAACAAAGATCTGACTATTTGTAATAATCTACCACAAAGAAAGCCCTCAGTTAATACTGCATGATTTACAAACTTATTTTCGAAAAATCGGAATCTTACACACGTGCGGTGGCGTATTTCCTGAGTTCCTGACAAGAAATAAGCAAGCTGTAGCCCTGTTAACAGGTACAGTCCACCGCTGAAACAATTCTTGAAAGACAATCACCCTCCAATCTGTCAGTTAATGAAACAACTTGCACTTCACTCACACTCCTTTCAGCCTCAGTGGCTGTTCCATCCACCGTCGTCTTCACACAACTTCCCTTACCATGTGAATGCTTCTCATCTTGCAGCAATTTATCTTGTGTAGTCCATTCTTATGTCAAGAATGCATGGTAGCAGGTACCGATTCGCAGTTGGCTGTTCATTTTTGCTTACTTCACACAACTCCCAAACGTCTTACCTGTTTACGTTGGCACGCTTGCGGCGATGACGAGTGATCGTTGCTAAGACCGCGGCTGCATCCTCTGCTGACATTGTCGTCGTGCGTTGTGAAAATTTATCCACCCAAACACTGCGTGATGGTCCCATCAAAATCTGTCAGTGGACCGTCGTGACCGTCGTGCACCTCACAAAAGCAGTGCATACCTGCAACGATGCATTGTCCCCTAGTAAAGTGTTCCCTCTGATGTTGTTTTATTGCCACACTCAGAGACGGCACTTTCTGCTTGTTAAGCCGACATTGCTTTTATACTCTTAAGCGGTGGCATTTGATGCGTTTGCTCTTGAGTTCGCCTTTTAATGGATTAAACAAACGTATCGCTGGCTAGCTGGACACCTGCTGAATTGTCACCAGAAATAAGTGCACACACATAGCTGTCGATTGCTGTGTTGGAAAATTTCAAGGAGAACTTTGTTCGCATATATTTGAAAGTGTCTTTTAAGTTCTACGTTTTTATCATTCGCGTGTTTGATAGTATTTTTTTGCGGCGATGCTTTCATTGAAGTATTTGCATTTATATGCTTTTGTAGCGCCGATGGTTTGTGAAAAATTCCTCAGTGTAATCTTGAGTCAGGGATCCTTTTGCAAAAGTCATTTAGGAAGAGTAATTTTGGTAGTGCATGCATGAAACGATTTCATAATTGCTATAAGTGCTTTTCACCGGAAGTAACACTGAAGCTGTGTCGTAAAATAGATTTCATTGCATGTTCCAAACCATTGCAATTCTGCGTTAAATGGTAACATGTAAGAGCCATAAATATAATATTTAAAGTCTGCATTGTTCCTACTTCTAGAACTTTCCATTTAGGTGTCATGCGTCCAGACATTTAAACTTCCTAGTAATAATAAAAGTATCGTTTATTTTGAGGTGGTGTTGACATGCCATTTCAACTGTAAATGTGTCCATGGCTTAAGTGTAATTAAGATTTTAAGGTTTCGAATTATAAATATGTTATATTTACTTATACATTGTTCACTGTCACTGTGAAGTCTTCATTTTTCTTAGGTTGCCTTTACTTGTTTAGTAGTTTTATGAAATATGTTATTGTACATTATCTTTTGTACATTCCTTTTCTAGTAAACGTAGCCCCTTGTGTATTAAAAACATTCGCCTATTTGATTTGGTACTTGAGATTCTACGAAAAATCCACAACCTTAATTTGCATAAGAAAAGTAACATATTTTGAATGTTTGTCTTTATTTTAAAAATTATGCCCTGGCTAATTAGCGCTGGGGATCAAACTAACCTTAAAACTGATTATGACAGCTGGTTTCGGGCGGTTGTTCACCTTGAAGTGTCTTCTTAGGCACGTCTTCATCAGGTTTCTTTAGTAATGAATTTTACATTCTAGCATGCATACCTATTGCCTCACCACACATTCCTTCGATCTTCCTTACGTGGTCAAATTAAATAGTCCTGGCATTTAACAGGGCTTTTGACAATATCTGTGCGTTATAGGCATCCTAGTGCACCTTTGTTTTAGGGCTTTAATGTGAATTTCAAACGACTTTAGCTATATTGACTTTGAATTTATTAACACAATGTAGTCAAATCCGTAAAAAATTAATCTAGCACATGAGCGAATTAAAGCCGCCGATAGCAATTCATAGGGCATATGGTACAAATTACAATCTACCACTAAGGCTGCCGTACCGTGCTGCTTAAGCTAGGTTGTAGGCGAACAATTAAAATATTTCAGCTGGCCAACGTGTCGTTTAAAATTGTTTTTAAGCATTAATAACAAAAAGTGCCTTATTTGTTTGACTCATAGTCGGTTTTCGAGTTACTCCAAAAAGAGTTTAGTTTCCTTAAAAAGAAGTCAATTTACTTGAGTACCTTAGTATTTCTGCTTTACTTTCTCAGTCGGCGTGAAGACTTTCAAAAGGCCATTGCAAGAATGCACGCACATCCCGCGGTTGGCAAAAACCACCTCGACTCTTTTCTGGCCTTGCCGATGCAGCGGCTGACCCGGCTCAAACTCCTTGTCGAGGTTATTCAGAAGTTGCAGGCCGTGGTCGCCAGCGACGCAGAGGAGCGTGCTATCACGGGGTCAACAGAAACCATGACACCTGCTGCCACGGAAGGCATACGGCGAATGAAAATCACTCCGCAACAGCAAGAAAACGCTAGTATTGCTTTGAGGGAGTTAAAAAGGGTAGGACAATCTCATAGTAAGGGGATCCACACAGATCTGGGGATTAAATCGTGTCTCAATGCATGAACGAAGTAAAATAACATAAGCTACCAAATGATGTAACTTTGTGGCGACAGCCTATACAGACCACTTTAAACGATCATTGTGCTTGCGTGGTTAGTGTCTGGCTTTGTAGAGAAACAGGCAACATCAAATAGGCACGCTTTTTCCACTTACACAGGTGTTAGACACAGTGCAGTTGATAGCTCCAGTAGTTCGCAATCACAGGCTCTGTCGGTCGTTTTCGCAACAGACTTTATTGCTATGTTTTTCCCCGACATCTGTGCGAATGGCCTTAGTGAAAAACAACCTTCCGCTCTGCCGCTGCTGCACCCATGTTATACCTCACTGTTGTGCGATCTAGATGCATAACACGAAGAGGATTGGAACTTTTCGAGCCTCTTATGTGTGATCGACACTGGAACACGCACATCATTTAAAAAAAGGCAGACTTAGGAGCACACAACGAAACCCCTTTCCTGGAAAAAAACTGCTGTGACTCTTTATCGTGACGCGCTGGATTTGAGTATCCTTGAGACATGACTGATCACAACCAGATGAATGGTCTTCTGAGTGTGTGACTAGAAATAAATGAATTGTCAGAAGTTGCTAGAAATATTTTCGATCTGAATTTATTTGACTACTTAGTGGTGCCATAGCAGTCCCTGCGCCTTTGTGATGGCCTAGAAGTGTTGTGTTTGCGTTGAAAGTTCTACACACCAATCAGTGATGATCAACCGTGCCCTAAGTTTACTGAATATATACTAAAGATAGCCTTCCTAAGTACTTGATTAGAGAAAAGCCGATGGAAGTTTGACCAATATTTTATTTCTGCTTGCTCATTGCCGCGTAATACCTAAAGAAGTACATGAAAAGTGCGGTTCCCTTCAAACCTATTAACGACTGCAAGTTGAACCACCTTAGGACCAACGCAAATTATGAGTTCTAACTTTTTTATTTTGTTATGGCGACAGTAATAGAAATACTTTTAATACCTTCCTTTAAAAATTGAGGCTGCAGACTTCTCAAACAGACTGTTTCCTCCGAGTATTTCTAAACGGTATAGGAACGGAGTTATGAATAAAAATTCACAGGACTAAAATGAGCTACATTTTATTTGAAATGTTCGCCTCGATCAGTAATTGGTTGTGGCATGGTACAACACGGAGTCCCCAAAGAATAAATGAGACAAGTAAGAGACTCAATTGTTTATTAGATGTCCCAACTAGGTTGCATCGTCGTGTGCGTGCGTTCAAGGTCGGGCATGCCTTTGCAGTGGGCAGTAAGCCACTTCGCGTGAGTGATGCGTGTATGCTGGCCCGACTGTACCAATGACTCACCCTTTCTTATTATTGGCTCCTGTTTGCAGTCGTGTGTTACGCATGCGTACTCATACGCACACAAAGACGCTTGGTTATTTCGACACTAGTAAACGGTCGTGTTCTCTGTCGCCCCTTGTCTTCCCTCTCCTCGGGTTGTTACAGGCTGTTAACTAGAGGGTTGCAAGGTAGTGCTAAACACATCTACTACACCTACACCTTGTAAACTTACAAATGACTGAGTGGTCAGACAAACAAAGTGGAAAGCTGGGGAGGCACATGCATAGGAGTGTGCCAGTAGACGGTCCCTCATGGCCAACGGACCCCCCTATGAAAGGAGACAGTGCGTCTTAGACTGCAATGACCGGGTTAATGGACGTGAATCGACACAACTCGCTGCATGTTTTTGTACGGGATAAGTAGTTGTTATAACTTTGATAATAAGACAACTATCCTTGGTATTTGCAAAGTAGTGCCTGGCAAAGCATAACATGGGGCATTTTTTCAGCTACTGTCTGAAAGCGAATCAGAAAAGAAGCTCATGGACGAGAAAGCACGGCTGCTGGCGCTTTCCTCGGCCCTCGAATTCCCCGAAAATGTTAAGGTAAATTATTTTTTTTAAGACTAAAAATGACCCACAACTTCCACTATTGTTAACACCACTTGTCCGAAGGCAGATTGAGCGTATGTGGAAAGCCACATTTTTGGCCTGCTCCATCTCAAGGAAAGGCCACAATTTCATTCCGCCTGTTGTCACAATTTGGCCCTAAGCCAAATTTATTGACTATAATCGGCTTGCTTTTCACCCATTGGGTCCAGATGTTAGCCAGCACATGAACACCAAACTTGACAACGCAGTAACACTTCACCAAAGTACCACAGGCCACTTGTCACATTAATTTACCAGACTGTCAGTGGTTACATTTAAATGTACATGTCAGGGGAAGACGATAATTTGTGGAAAGCCGAAAATTTGTCACAGATTAGTTTTCTACTAATTTTAGGTTTCTATAGCACTATTTATCGTAAGTAGTTCAGTAAAACAAGTGAAAAACAATGTTTTGTTCGTTGTAAACGACATGTTATTTTCACAAAAGCGTGTACTCACTACAGAGATATTCACTTTGAAAACAATGTTATTTTTGAAGTGGTCAGCAGGAAACAACTTCGTGCCCATATTCTTGCTTCCAATATAGCCAGACTTCAACAAATTGTAAATGTAATCGATGAGGAATGGTAAACTACAATGATTCTCATAACCACAGATTTTTAGTATAACGCCTTTGCAGTAGCTTCTTCCTCGGTGTAACCTAAACCATAATGTCTCACGGAATTGCTTTAGGAAAATGAACAATCACAATATTTAGCACCCAGTAGATTGTTGGTTGAATTCGTACGTGTGTCGACAACATCCTTGTTTGTCAATCGGATATTCTCTTTAAATTTGTTGACGGTGTATTTTATTCAATATTAGTCAACTCGTCTTAATACTTTAAAAACTGTCGCTTATGCGAATTCAAACTTCAGTGGAAATTAACTCTGTTTATTTCAGGGTAAAGTCTATCTACTACAAATGATGAACATAGGAAATGGTGTCTTACAATAGAGGATTGCACGAGAGTTTGCTGGCAGTTAAGAAGTTCAAACTAACCAAACAAATCCACTATGAGCCTTTGGATACTTTGTGCTGGTCTGTGCATCAAAAACCAGAAGAATGGAGGGATATTTGTGGTACTCATGTCCTGCGTTACTCCACGAGATAAACCCGTTCTCACAGAAATTTCCTACACACGTCTCAAAATTCATTTCGCAGACTCGTAGTAAATGAGCTTATTTCTCCAACTCCTGTACCCATTTCCCCTTTTTAACCAACATGATGCCCAAATTTCTTTAAACAAAGTCAGTTGTTTGAATTTGTAGATACTGCAAAAGAAATTTAACAGAAAAAATCCCAATCTGTTAAATCGTGTCCTAAATTGTTTTATATGTGGCAAGTTTCATGGTCAAACTTGTGCCTTTCATCGGGCATTTTGATTGTGGTTTGATGGATTTGCTTCTTCAATAAAGGATTCATTAGACGCTCATGGAAGCAGTCACCATAATATTGTCAAAGTGTAGTACCTCTTAGCTAAGGTGTCTCACCTGATACATTTTTACTGTTTGATCAGTGTTTTTGAGAGCCGCAGCGCGCAAACCGAAAGGACCTTACGGCTGTCACATCTTTGTGTGCGATCACACGATGCAGAAAATCGTTTATCAAATCAAACAGTTAATCATGCCATTTTCAAAGTCATTTTCCTTATTTTTGCCACTGCTTACAGCAGTTTTATATTATTTTCCTAAGCAATTACTTTGTAATTAGTAAATGTATTTAATTAAAATCATCCTGCACTTTCTGGTATGTTCTACTAAAAGACCCCTTGAGAGGGTTGTAGCTATTTTATGTAGCATAATTTATACCTAAATAATTAGGGTGGCCCAACTTAGACAACCAGGAAAGCTAAATCGTATTGTTAATTTATGAAAATAAGTAAAAACGCATTCTTAAACCTGTGCGTGTTGTGTTATTTAGACAATAGTTTCTTGAAATTTCTTTAAAATCAATTTCAATAACCAGGCATGACAATTGTTTTATCAGTGTTTCTCTAGGGCTGCATTCCAGGAAAATAGGTCCATTCCATTCACGTCTGCACAATCAATTTTAGAGAATTGCAATCAGCGACAAACGACTCATCAAAGAGGGCGAGCTGCGTTCAGCTACCTCCGATGGTAAGGCAACAGTGTTGTTGAAAAAGCTGGGCAGAAAAAAGCCTGAAACCTTCTACCTCATTCTCTTCAACGACCTGTTAATGGTTACCAAACTTAAAAAGTAAGCTTTACTTTCATTTGCAGCCTGACTTGAAATTTAATGGTGATCTAATTTGATAATTTAAAGCCTAGATTTAAAGACAAAATGGCTATATTAGGTAATTCTCACATTGGCCTAACAATTGTCCTTTCATACACATGGGAATTAAAATCAAGAGAAGGACAAATCAAGAAGATTCTCCTCCCCTTATCAATCGAACTCGGCTGAATGCGATTCTTCTTACGCGTACAATTTTGGATTGTCGTTTATGTATGGAACTCTAGCAAATGCAAACATAACTTTTACTCACAAAAACTCGAGAACGGAGCTTAAGATTTCAAGGGCAAAAATCAGCCTTAAACAAACATCCTGCTAAAAATGAAGTCATTATCACAGATTATATCACAAAATATCAAACCTACCAACCTCCCGAATAAGGACTTTGTTCTTATCAGACTAGTAGCAGTAATAATCGAGTGGAATGTCTTAGCAGATGCCCATCTAGGCCATATTAACTACATGAAGAGACACATGCTCATCCGAATTAAAGCAATAAGACCAGACAAAGTGGAAATTAAACTTGTTTTATGGGTCTGCTTGTAGCTATTAGCATAAATTGCTGGTTAGACACAAGGAATAAACTTTATTGTTAATAGAATTTTGCTCCAAACATGTCTTACTATTGCGCGTATTCATTTGGTGCCTTACTTTTGGCTATGATCTGACTCGGGTTGTTGCGAATCCGATTTACGAGATCATTCTCGTCACAATGGTGTATCAGTTATGACATCATCATCATCATCACCACCACAACAACAACAATGGCTCATAATAATAGCACAGTAAGCAACATCGAAACCTAATGTGTTTTTTAGATTCTGCATAGTTTCAATCATAGAAGCCCTTTCAACTGCAGATATAAATTCATCTGCTATAACAGAAGCTTTTTCGGGATTTAAGGCAAATTGACAATGTACCACGTAATCGCGTTAAAAACAAACAACGCGCAAACTGGACTCCAATTATGTTAAGATATGTGTTAAATTCTATGTTTCCCATGCATTAGTATTTCTAAACTCACTTTTTTCAAACCATGTCTAGATTAGCTGTTTCACCTTTGGACTTAGAGTTTATTCGGTTAAGAAACACTAATTTGACAATATCGCGATCATGTGGCACTTTTCTCAATTGTTCGCAGCTTGGTCATAGCTGCAAGTCGTTCACGACCTCAAAGTTAAAACACTGACCATGCGGAGTTAAATGTTAAACATGGGGTGCTCTCCTGGAAGTTTAATGAAATCTGTAATTGGGGTCGATTAATGTAGAAAAACGAGTCGCTACCCTGCAATCCTATTGTGCTTTGCTCCTGGGGAATCCGAGAACAGTTAGACGAAGAGGCGCCATGATCAAAAGGACACCAATGTTTTTTTAACCTCCATATCACGTTTCTAATTTATTTGTGTGCCTACAAAGGATGGTAGTAAAACACAGAGGATTGAGTAGGTGTACATACAGGTGGATAGTTAAATAAATAAGCAAACATTTAAAAGCGATATCGAGCGAGTTGCTTGAATGCCATTTTCAAGAGGGCATTGATTACATTCAATTTCAAAGCGTTCTCTGCCATCCTGTACACTAATTGTTAACCGGATCGTAATAGGGACTATTACTATAAGATTTAAGTTTCTCTGCATTGTGCCTGAAATTTGACTGAACTGACCTCATTAAAAGCTATGCGGACCATCAGGATTTTAACACACAAAATTGCAATCACCTGAAACCATTCACTGTCCTGTATGAATTTTAAAGCCATTTACATTCCGTAGGTTCTTATATACACTAACATCTGGCAACTCTATGCAATAAACATGTAGTAACTGGGGTTTAGCACTGCCTTACAACCCTCCAGTTAACAGCCTGTAATAACCATGAGGCGACAGAAAACACGACCGCTTATTAGTGTCACAACAGCCAAGTGTCTTCGTGTGCGTATGAGTAGGCTTGCGTAACCGGCGAATAACAGAACTGGTGAGTCATTGGTACACTCGGGCCATGATGCACGCATGGTGGCTGTCTGTCCACTACAAACACCATATCCTAAATAACTCGGCTTTTTTCGTCTTAACAGGAATGATCGCTATCTAGTCCAGGACTATTGTCCACGTGACAAGGTATACGTAACGATTGGGAACCCAAGTGATGCATCCACGCACATCACAACTGGATCCGCATCTCGCTCACAGACGCTAGGTTCCAATAATTATGGTGGACTCAGACGCCAGAAGCGTCCAAGCGCGGGTCTGCTGGGACTAAAAGGGATACCACGGCACCACACCACCACTCTCGAGGTACCAGAAGGTCTCTTTAAGACAGCTTCTGATAATCCACATGCTAACCTCCCGTCTGGTGGCTCACTGAGTTCTGCCTCATCGAATTCGAGTACAATTGAGGTTTGCGGAACAGCTTCCTCCACTTCACCACCACTGAGCCCCACTCGGCCACCCTCGGTGCGCTTGCGCAGGTCTGGAAGCAGCCTCAGTTCGAAGTCTGTTCCTAGTGGTTCCTCATATTCGTTCTCTTCAGCTGGTGCATGCACCATTCACCGTGATCTCCCTCTTCTGCTATACGTTTGCTTGACTGAAAGCCAAAGCGGAACATGTACTGAGTTTTGTTTCACGACAAATGATAGGTAAGGAAAGCATATTTACTTCTAGTTCGATTTTTATTCGATCATAGTACATTGACGTCTTGAGTTCTTTTCGATATCTGTGCTTAGCCAAAGACAAACTGATTGATTAAACATTTGAAGTTTGTAGCTTACTTTGAAACAGCAATTTGTCTTGTGGTGCTGTGTAATTTCTGGGTATGTTATGTCACAAATAACCTTAGGCGAACAAAACTTGCAACAACACTTTCTGGGAACACCATTCGAAAAGACAAATTAAAATTGTTCTCATTGATCTCGATTAAAAATCTATCCACTTCTTGTGGTCTGTTGACTTGTTGAGGCACCTTCGAATGAGGCCAAGATGACATGTTAGGGACCTTTTACTGCGATTACTCCCATCTATCTCAGATTATTAATATCAGACCTTGATACAAATGGAATTTATTATGTGGTGTCTGGACCGCTGCATATTTGCGTTGCAGGCTGTAGGTACGCTGGTATATAAACCAAAATAACCAAGGCATTTTACAAGATAATCAACGTTACATTTGAGACCTTTGAGATCTTGGAGAACCAATCGAATCTTTTAACCACGATTGATTCTTCGCTTATTCGTTTGAGAAGTTTTTCATTTCTGTTCAAAACTAATTCCTTTTTTGTTCAACTCATCAAGATATTTGTCAAAAAGCTTCTTTATCTCATCCAAAGGAACCCCGGGTATATTGAGTAAAATGCATAGTTTTAAGAAATGACATATTAGAATGCACGTCTGTGATTTGGAGGTCCTGGTTAAAAGCGGGACTTTGGCTTGACTGCTGCTGAAGTTATCGACATAAATCTCTGTCAAGAACCTCCCATTAGAGGCAGAGGGCAAAATGGTATAAGGCTATCCAGGATGTTATTTTCTTCTGAATCTTTTGGAACGTCTCTTTAGCTGTCTTTGTAAAAAATATGAAAGATTTTAATAGCTTTTTTAAGTTTGGTATTATAAAGTCAATAATTTTTTTTAGTGCCGAGTATGAAGCCTGGTATCGAGCACTTCACTCAAAATCCCTCAAGCTGAACAGTATCAACACTGGGTCGGATGAACAACAGGTGATCAGTGAATAGTTCACACGATGAAACCTATATTGTTTATCTTCAGATCAACTCTCCATGGAAGGAACTCAGACGAATGCCAATTTTACTTAAGACCACGTCCAATTCAAATTGGCTGTTATTTAGAAACCCACGTGATTTAAGATGCATACCATTTTACGATTTTTTTTGCTCCAGACCACGAAATGGACTAATGCCAACATTGAAGATCTGTTGTTATTCACTCATGTCTATTGCCTGGATTACCCTTTACCCACACTTCACGTACTTCCCTGATATTTTACCACTTCAGTCTCTTCCTGTACAGAAAGCATATTTTCTACATATCGATGGTACAGCGCTATATTTTGTTCCTTATTTTACCAAAAAGCAATCAGGAAACCCTCTCAGCTGTCGCTATTCCTTGTGAAAGTTTAAGACAGGACTGGTAGTGTTAAATTAACAAAATAGTTGTCTGGTATACTGATACAATTGAATTTGGCTCCAAGGTCGCTAAATGGGTTTTTCGTGTTCACATTCCATGCGGAGCCTCTTTTCCAGATATCACTTTCTGTTAGTGAGCACGCAACACTGATTCGCCTCTACTAATTTTGCGATAGTTCCAATCCAATCAGTTGAAAAAAAATTTGCCTTTCGAAACTAATAAGACAATTTAATTTTTTTCGAATGTTTTCAACGGACATGAAATCGACAATATGTATAGCTGGATCCATGCTGGTTAAGCCTATCAGGCATGCAACGCAGCGGGCAGTCGTAAGGGTCGCTGAACACTAATACGCTGCACATTTTGCGCAATTGCACAGAGTATGAGGTTCCGAACAAGGATTTCTGGAAAATGGTTTGTCTTCTCAAAGTTCAGCTTTAGACCCTGTTAAAAGGATAGCATGCTTCGGAGATCCCGTGACTGGTTACAGATATCATTCAAAATCCTTTTCCTGGAAACTTAACCGTGACGTCAGTTCGAGAATGTGAAAGTAGGAGAACTCAGCCTTGGCATCGATCTGAGTAAAACCCTGTTACTTATCATTGTCATTGAAACTTTAGGAAACTCGAATGCTCGCAATTGTATTTTTTACTCTCCATAAATAGTAAAAATCCTCAAAAACCAAATGCATACTACTAGGACTTGACTTTTACAAAACAGAATTGTTTGTATTCCCTTATGTGGTTTAAAATTTTGACATTGTTTACTCAATTTAACATTAGTTAGACACAGATTTATATAGGAGCAAGCTAGAAACATGTAATATCTATTGATGTGGTTATGTAAGTCAAATAAGTGTCCTAATGTGAAGACAAATATCACATTATTATCTAGCGGGAGGCTGACTTTAATCCCACACCAAGTGCTTGTAAAAGAAATTTTTACGAATGAGCTTCTTTTATCCACCTCGGACCTTAGATCAGGGAGAAAGAAAGATAAGAAAATTATCAATAGATTGAGACGTCGAGAAATAGCCAGGCGAATTAAAAAAATTAATTCGAATTCAAAAATGTCGCTAATTTAATGGAACTGCTTAAAACATTTACGCTGACCTGGTTGATCAATTGAGTTAACTGCAACTCAGCGCAAAGCATTAGAGGGTATGTTAGGAGTTTGGTTTTCCCTGAAGCAATGTATCATTATTTACTGTGTTAACAAAAAATACTAAGGTCTATTTTGTGAAGCCTCTTCGTGTGGAATGAAATATAAAATATATTTTCTTAAAAGTTTGATCTTAAATATATAGCGTGAAAAAGTAAGGGCTAAACTTTTTCTTAACCTTCAGACAGAAGATGTTTCTTTAGCATTCAAACGATGCCTGGGAACGACTATTTTGACAGAATTTAAATGTTCCACCGTTATGGGTGAACACTGGATAAACCTAACACATCTAAATAACCCTTGAAGTAATTTTACCAGGAACCGAAACCAGGTTTACTCGAATGTTTTACGCCTGTAGCATTGTCAGCATACTACTACTACTACTTCTAATACATGCTTTTTCCTAGTACTTCATGCGTTGCATTATTTAAAATCTAAAAGAAGCATAAGCTCAAGAAAACACTCAAGACACTAATGTGATTGCTTCACTTGTCTTTTTATAAAGCACTGAGGTTGACAGCATGACAGTCCTGAAGTCAAGCCTGAAATTCCTGAGACGTTTACAGTTTTTGAAAACGTATGCACTTTTAGCAAGCAAAATTTTAACAAAAAGATCAAACAGGTGCTTGATTAGTATCTGACGTGGGTGTGCTTTCGTCTTTCTCATTTTATTTGTCCACTTCCCTTCCAATACGGTTTATTTGGTGGGGACTTCTTGAATCAAAAAAGCCATTCCGGCCAGGTTTGAAAATATTATAGATGAGCTAAGTTGATTTCGTGTTAAAGTGTGTGGTAATGCATGCTTCGAGAGTTGTTAGTCAATCAAACCTGGAGTTCATGTGAACCTCAATGTTTCAGAGTTAGAAAAAAAGGGCCAAAGATGTGAGAAGAAACAAAACATTCGAGGAAGTTCTCACGATTTCTTTATAAATTTGCCACTGCAAACGTTGTGGCATTCCTTGTTTATGATTATCGCTATATTTATCCCTCTCACGGTACACAAAATCAAGTCAGGAAAGTAGGCAAAACTTATTTGATCCCGCATCATTCGAATTCATCTGAACACAAATCTGCGCCTAAATCATTTAAAAAACCGTTTTATTCCATTTGAGTGTTGCCCACTGGTCAAATGCAAACAATTTTCTGCAAATCAGGCAGGTTTTTGGTCAGATTTGCAGATGGTCCATTTTATCTGGTATCTAGGACAATTACAAGTGCGGAAATGAACGGACGCGTGTTATCTCCTTGGTCCGTTTATGCGCGTGGCAACAATTTGCGTTTTCAACACGTCTCTCCTTTTGCGAGCAGTACACTTTTACTTCTAACTTCGGGAAAGGTTATTATCCAAGTCAAAGTAATCCTCTTGTGTAGCAGATAAACCAAGGCCTGTTTCCTAAAATTACCAAGCAATGCAGGAAATAGGAAATATTTTATGATGATGGAATAAGGTTTTGGACTAGGAATGGCTTTTAGTAATAAAGGAATGAGAAATGGACAACGAATTTGCACGCCTTGATGACCTCTTTCGCGCATCACGAATGTGCGATACAAAAAAATCCTAGGTTCTAAATGACTTTATTAGATATTTACTGTCTGCTCATTCCTCAGTACATTAAAATGAGCATTTCTGCTGAGGTTAATTTGTTATTTTGTTCCTCTGCAAATGTTCGTTAGGAAAGTTATACTTTGAGTCATAATATCATTAGGTTTTTAAGGAGTTTTTTTTGCAAATGATTTCAGGAGCTACATCCCCACTATCAATGTGCTTTAAAGCCGAGTTTGAGAAGCTATGGCATGTAATCTTTCTTTGTAGAAGTGAACTTGAGAAAGGCCAGAAAATCATTAATTTTTGTCACTGATCGCCTAGGTTTACTGTTATCAGTCGGAAATTTATTTGAATGCTGACGCGTCAGTTTGACACATGTCGCATTCATGTTGTTAATGCTGGCTTTGGGGTATTTGCAAATGTGCAGGTTTGCTTTACTTAGTAACGCAGGAATGAATATTCTCCCAGTGTTCTACTAACCGTATATTTACATAGAATAGTTGCATGCGGCACAGAATGATGGCGATAAATATGTTCGCAAATTAGTCTCAAATGTCAAGGGGTCTCGCAATTTCCAGACTTTAGTTAGGGTTGAAAAATGCATTTTATGAATAATTACAAAAGCAGGATATTTCACTTGCACAATCTACTGCACGATGCTTCATTTAGATAAGTTCAACTAACGAAACGATTAACTGACTTTATCATGGCAACTGTAGGGAGTTCACAGAATTTCAAGAACCCAAGATGGCATAAGTGAGAGTTTCAATCGTGCTGTCATTCCAACGTACACAGTTACAAGGGGCATTGTGTTCTGTTTGAATCTAAACTGTAAATTACAACTTTCATTGCGGATTTAAGGCACTAGAAATGTAAATTGCTTTTTTAGGTTAAAAAGTACGGATTTCTGATTTAGTTCCTAATTTTACGACAATAACGATCACACTTGGAAAAAAACTTGGAGTATCATTAATTTTAATTCGTCTACATCTGCTTCATCTTGACAAACCATGACTTTCACGTAGGGTTGAATTAATTTCTCTCATATCAGAAATTAATATCAATATTTTGTGAACCTAAATGGCCTATGATTGAAAAATAAACCATTTATTAGGCAAATATATTTTATTTTACGAAACCTACTTGCTTTTTGCATTTATGTCCAAACTTGTAGACCTGAGAATGAATGCTAACCCTGTAACGGGAGTCACAATGGTAGCGAATTTCAGATGTGTTTGCTTTCATGAACTTCCTGATTTCCACAATTGTGATGAGTGAGATGTGTGGTGAAATGTCTTGGTGTTGATTCTTCGAATTTGTTGATTAAACTTTGAATATGCACGCGATCTTGACGTTGGCAAAAGTCCTCTTACTGAGTTATGCAACACACATCATTGCATTCTTCCCCAACCTCGAAACACAACCGTTGAGGATGAAAGAAATACTTAAAATATCTCTAGAGGAATTCTCGCAACGAGTTGGGCAGTTGGACTTGACATTTTTGTTTAAATATAGATTCCTCAGTAGCATGGTTCCTATCATGATAAGCATGCCAATGAGACTCATACTATTAAAGTCATATAAAGTGGTCTTTAGAAGCTAAATAAGACGTCATTTAAACCTGATTTAATTTGTCAGCCTCAAGTTACTTGCTGAATTTTCTTGTTCACGAATTTGCAATTTTTGGCAAGACTGATGCATGTCCCAAAAGTTTTATCACCCACCTGCACCCAAGCTTAAAGAGTATTTCGTTTATATTCTAGGCCTCTAAATATGGTTCTCGGGATTTCAGTGACGTAGTATTTAGGGGTTTTAACATCACGGAGTAGATCTCGGTAATAAAAAAGTCAGGAGCCTAAGTGGGTGTACATAGACCTTGAA